CAGTAGAATTGTAAATGAGCTGATTCAACAATGTCATGCTCATAATTGTGCCTGAAATGCAACAGGGAACTGCTGCTTTTCCTCTCCTAGTCCTTACTATCGTCACTCTTGTGACCCGCTATTTCCGGGGTGCCTTGATAGTTGAAGCAGACTTTACACTTGTGCAGAGATAAGATAAAATAAGATCCATCTTTATTGTCCTGATCCTGATGCATCTTATTTTATCTATCATAAATCTGAGTAAGTCTGATTCCCTGTAAAGACTTCTCTTTTGACATCCATCCCTTGGCCCTCATATGACCTTGCCTTATGCAGTTGCGAGCGCCTTAAAACCTCTACTTAAGAAAATTTTTATTCTCTCCTCCTTTTTTATGTTTGTTACTTAATAACCGGACTACAAACAAAAACAGAAGGGTAATGATTAACTATTTTAACAAAACGGAGTTATATATACTATAAACTAAAACAGATTATAAACAAAAAGAGATGATTATAAAGTATAAACAAAACAGACTATAAAACTATAAACAAAAACAGATGATTATAAGCTCAGAAACAGACAGAGTGTATTAATTATAATAAACTAAAAGAAAACTCAGATGAAATCATAAACTATGAACAAAAACAGACAGAGGTTCGCATTACCAACAGAGGCAATCATAAACAAAAACAGACAGAGGAGATAAAAACAAAGCCCAGACAGAGCAGGTAATCATAAACAAAGAACAGACGACAAACTAATTCATTCTCCATGCAGTTGGATTACCTTGAAAAGGGAAAACAGGAAGAAAGCTGGGAAATCATTCCCAGCCCCCCCCGTGTAGCTGCGGCGTTCTTTCGTTCCGAGTGAACGTGATAATATAATATCACCTTTGTGAGGTGTTCCCCCATTGATTTTTGTGTTCCTCTGAGCAATCTGAGCGACAAGACAAGGAATCAATACACAGTACAGTAGCAGCGCGCTACAATCTCACACAACAAGGCCTGCCTGCCTGCCTGCAGTCTACAATAGCAGCGCATTACAATTTGACACACAATCCCTGCCTGCTGTCTACACGGCGCGTTACAATTTGACACAAGCCCTGCCTGCTGTCTACACAGCGCGTTACAATTTGACACAACAAGCCCTGCCTGTGCGTTACAATCTTAGTCAAGCTGACACATAAGCCCTGCCTGTGTCTACAATAGCGGCATGTTACATTCAATCTCACACAAGTTACAATCTTAATCAATCTGCAATAGCAGTGTGTTACACATACAATCTGACACAAGCCCAGCAATAGTTGTGTATTATGTAATCTAACACAGACCCTGCCTGCAGTGTACAATAGCAGTGTGTTACAATATATATCTGTCGCAAGCGTGCCTGTAGGCGAGAGGCTAATTTACTTTTCCACGGCAATTGTGAAATTCTTGTTTTTTCTGTCAAAGTGTACGAATGGGGGGGAAGGGGTGGTGGTGGGGAGAGAAACTATATCTTGCCCGGTCACTTCAGACTTGAGACTCATATATCGAACAGCTCTCTATTTATTTGGCATTCATTTCACCTTTTGGATTTTTTAAGTAACAAGTTGTAGAAAATTGATGGGTGGAGGACGATACCGGTAGGTCCTTTTTCTTTTCTTTCCCTGTGTTGTTTCTGTCTGTCTCTGTCTTGCTTCGTATCAATACAGCTCGCAATATATGACCTTCATTAAGTTGATGCGCCTCTCTTTACTATTCAAACTGAAAGGAGAAAAACTAGTGAAAAGAACTTGTATTTTAAAAACTTTTTAAAAAAAAGATATCCCACATTTCCTGTAGCTGTTTCCCTCACTCAGTGCACTCATGTGTTCAAACCGTTCATATTCTACAACATGTATTTTTTTTAGATAGAGGTGAAAAGTGGGAGCAAAAATCAAATAGGACCTTGAAAATTAACAACCATCAAATATATTGGTTATGAGCACACTTGACAAGAAGTTAGCTCGATTGATGATTAAAAAAAAAAATTTGCTTGTTTAAACTCGTCTTTTTCTCTCTTGTTTGCTGAACGCTGGTTGTTTTTTTTTTCCAACTCTGCTGGCTGCTGCTAACGATATATATGTTATTGCTATCACCAAATATTGCCTTTTGTTGTTGTTGTTGTTGTCACCAAATGTTGCTTTATGCAGTTGCGAGCGCCGTAAAATCCTCTACTATAAAAAAAAAATGTTGCTTTGTTGTCACCAAATGAAAATGTCGCTTTATTTTTTTTGTTGTTACCAAATGTTGCTTTATTGCTGCGACTATGACCAAATGTTGCTTTATTGCTGCGACTATGACCAATTGTTGCTTTATTGCTGCGACTATGACCAAATGTTGCTTTATTGCTGCGGTTATATTATGACCAAATGTAACGATGGAGCTGACAATGCATTTAAATAAGTCAGGATCACATACACATGATGTGTTTTTGTCATTATAAAGAGCTGGATAGCATGAAGGCTGTGCTCATAAACGCTTATAATTTGCTGTTGAAAAGTTCTATTGTAAGAGTTCATCGGGAGTGGGGGTGTGGGGGAGGGGGGGAGGAGAGGGATGTGGGCTCAATGAAGCCCGACGCCTCCCATGAATAATGCAGCCAAGTTGACACCATTACCGGGTGAGCGTGGCTCTGGCGTCTTGCCTTAATTCAATCTATTGTCCTTTGGTTTTTTGTGCTGGTGTGCGTTGAGTAATGGAG